ATTTATTTATTTGACAGAGAGAGAGATAGCAAGAGCAGGAACACAAGCAGGGGGAGTGGGAGAGGGAGAAGCAGGCTTCCTGCCGAGCAGGGAGCCCGACGTGGGACTCGATCCCAGGACCCCGGGATCATGACCTGAGCCGAAGGCAGACGCTTAACGACTGAGCCACCCAGGCGCCCATTAGGCCAGATTTTTGGAGAAAGGTGTGCTTTTACATTTTTTTTCTTTAGCAACTGGAATATGGATCTTGCAGAGAATGGAAAGTAGTCTGCGTGATATCAGAGTCGTAACTATGGAGGTTCTACGTGAATAGCTATGTGCAAAGGATTAAGGCTTGTGGGCCTGTGACAGGTGGGCACCAAGGTGATAAACTCTTCTGGGTAGCCGCCCGCGATGCCCCCAAATCCGCCCCTCCCCTGGCATCTTGCTCTTACTCGCACAGGTGTACGAAGCGAGGCTCCAGCTCAGGGCGCTCACGGCTCCCGAGTCCCGCGTCTTCCACAGGTACTGGAGCTGAGCAAACTTGCTGGCCGTGCTGATGAAAGTACTTAGATTCTGTTCGCAGGGAAAACATGAGCAAGTCAGGAGTCCCTCAGTTAAAAAAGCCGGGGAGGAACAGGCAGAAATGGCTGGAAGGAGCAGGGAGAGCGGTCACCCTGGGCGCAGACGTCTGCGAGGGCTGACCCCCGGTGGGAAGACTGCACCAGAGAGCTGGCCAGGGCACAGGGCCACGCGGGCCGGAGGGTGGGGGTGGGGGTGGGTCGGGTCAGGACGGAGCGCCAAGGGCCAGGTGGCGGGAACTGAGGTAGGGCCCCAGTCACTCATGTCACAGATATTCTAACAGCGTCTGCTGGATACTCCACCATCCGTCTTCCAGGAGAAAACGCCATCTCTAGAATCATGAAGTAGTTCTCTTGGGGAGCATCACCAAGGCCCGGACAGATTTAGCAAATAAAACTCCAGGACACCCAGGTAAATTTGAATTTCAAATCAACAACAAATAATTTTTAGCATGACTATGTCCTGTGCAATATTCGGGACATACTTATACTAAAAAATTCTTCGTCGTCAATACGGCAACCCTATCTAATTGCTCTCCAGGTGTCACAAGGTTGAAATGTAACATGGAGTCAAGTGCGCTTTCCAAGCAAGGATCACAGACAAGATGCGGGTGAAGGGGGTGCAGTTCATGAATCTGGGTGTGGCAGGCACTGACTGGTGACCACCAATTCTTCTCCTTCTCCCGTTGGGTGGAGAAGTACACTCCAGTGACTTCGGAGAGAAGATCTGGGGCCAAATGGTTCCTGACCCACCCTCAGAATCCTATTCTCACATGATGGGAATTTTTGGCCCTTAACCAAGGAAGGAAAAAAGGACAGAACTAACCCTTTTCCAAGGAGGATGAAAATGTTGCCGGGGGTGGGGGCTGGGGGGACAAGTTTAGAAAAATAATGAGTTTGTGGCCAATATGCAATCATCAAGCTGATCAGAAGCTGTTTAACTTACATCCAGTTCTTCATCTACTACTGTTAAAAGTACCTCCCCAGCCCGGTTCTCTATGCACCCCCAGCCCCAAAAGGAAGTAAAAAATGTTGCCAAACATCTCAGGGAGAACAAGGTCTTCTAACATTTGGACAAGACTGTGCTTTCGTTCCTTCGGTACAGCTGACAAATTTGCAGGTTAAACATTCGACCTACGCAGTTCTCTGCGGAACGGGCGGCCTGGAGGGACAGACTACCTCACACACTCCGTCCTCAAGGCGCGATCCACTTACCATGGCCAGATCTATGATCCACTTCTGCAGGGGAAGGACGAACCACGAGGCCACGAATCTACCCAGCGCTAAGGGAGACAGCAGTAGCTTGACTGACGGCCCCGCCGCCCCCCACCCCGGGCCCGTGCCTTCACGCCAAGGCCGTGGAGTCTCCGCACCTAAGCCGACCTGGGAACGGCAGAAGCGGACTGTGGAAGAGAACTGCCAACAGCCCCCTGCGTCTGTGGACTGTTGCTGGGGGTCCAAATGATTCTAAGCGCCCACTTAAGCCCTGAACATGCAGACATGCGCAACGCCATGTCAAACGTTAAGCATTTGAAGCAGCAGCTCGACATTATGGGGTAGCCGCGTTCTGCAGGTGTCACGTGAAATTCTCTTCACTGACTTCCCCCTTCCCGGCCAACTCTGGTGTCAATCCAGTTGGCGTCAGCAATGCTGGCAGACAGGAGAGATGACAGCGGATTTCCGCCAAGCTCAGGGAGGCTGCAGGCACAGAAAGCCCAGCTAGACAAGCTGAAGCAAACACGTGAGATAATGGCCGGGAGCCTCAGCTGTGACCTTGGACAAGTCCCATTCTTTCTTTTGACCTCAGTTTGCTTATCTGCAAAATGGACTTAACACTCCTTGTCCTATCTACCTCCTCAATGCCTGGTGGCACGTCATAGGGACCCAACCAGGTTGCTATGATTATAATTAATAACTTTATTTATTTATTTATTTATTTATTTTACTTATTTGACAGAGAGAGAGACAGCGAGAGAGGGAACAAAGCGGGGGCAGTGGGAGAGGGAGAAGCAGGCTCCCCGCTGAGCAGGGAACCCGATGCGGGGCTCGATCCCAGGACCCCGGGATCATGACTTCAGCCTAAGGCAGACGCCTAACGACTGAGCCACCCAGGCGCCCCAATTAATAACATTATTTAAATGAAAGGATCGACAGTGCCCTGGCTGAAAAGTCTGGAGAACTAATTCCGGGCAACCTGGTCAACACCAGAAGGGGTAGCTGGAATCTAGGCAGATGAAATCTTGTTTTTAAAACACACTCTAATTCAGTTTCTTACACGAATTTTGCCCAGTTTTATGCTCTTCATTCCAAACCAGGAGCAGCAACTCCTGAGTTCAAGATGACCTTTTTGTTGGGTTGCCTGATTTCGCAAGTAAACATACAGCGCACCCAGTTAAACCTGAATTTCAGATCAACAAAAATAGTCTTTGAGTACGAGTATGTCCCGTGCAATATTTGGGATGCACTTTTGCTAGGAAAAAGGTCCCTGTTCATATGGCAACCCTACCTACTGTCCACCACGACTGACAGGAGGAAGTTATAAATAGGAACTTGTCCTGTGCCCCTCCTCCTGTGACTCTCCCAGTCGGGACACACAGCAGCTTAGTTATTCTCAGCAAGGGAGGAACTGGGTTTTTACAGAGAGTTGAAATGAAAGCCGGGCCCTGGTTCACAGAAGATGCTGCGTGAGTGAGCCCACGTCTGCATCATGACCGGATCCCCACCATAACCCTTCTCACGTCTTGGGCATCATTTTCACTTCGAACAAACGTTCAAGAACCCCTCGCTCGCAGGCTGGCAGACAGGAGCCAGCCCGCTGACCAGGTGCGTTAGACATTCCCGTTATTATCATTTCAAATACTTTGGGGATGTTTTCAGGGAAGAAGGAACATCTCCCTTCCCCTAAAGAATAAACGTGGACGAGGGGGCTCTGAGCAGGGTGCTTCCATCACGCGGGACGCCACCAGGGAGGGACTGAGTCCACGAGCCACTGGGCTCGCGGGCGCGCCGTGGGCACCCTGGCCTCGGAAGGGAGGCCCCGGGGCAGGACTGCACTGGACTCTCTCTGGGTTGGGGAGGTATATTCACTCACATGGAGTCTTGCATTTGGGATCTTTTTTAACCAAAAAGAACATATGTCTGGTAAAGGACTCTACTTAACACACACTGCGAGCAGGTAACACCTCGTCCCATCGATTCCTGGATGCAGACGGAAGGATACACAGCGAGGTAGGGTGCTGCCCCTTTCACGTTCCCATTGAAATGGAAGACACACAGCAGGAGGAGGGCATCTGAAAGACAAAGGCCCGGGGTGAGGCAGGAGGGGGTCCGAGGGCGGAGGGTGGGGGGACGGAGGGGTCGAGGGGTCCCTTACCTTGTGCGATGAGAATGGGGTACTCCAGGTAGGTGAGCAGCGGGTACTCATAGTAACACTGGTACTGGAGAAACACCAGGAAACTGGGGACAGAGAGGGTGCGCCTGAGCTCAGACCGACCCAGCGCCCGGCAGGGAGGCCCAGCCAGCCCCCCAGGAGCCCAGGTTCGCTCGCAAAACCCTGGAACCGGAGGTTGGAGCCTGCGGATGTCAAGGGGGGAGATTTTGAACAGAAAGGATGGACTGGTGATGTAAGAATGGCCACAGCTTTGCTCAGGGCCTGTGCCCAGGGCTGATGGGGCGCCGGGCATGATGTGCACGGTCTGTCAAGTCCCTTTCACAGGGGGCAAGCTGTGCACCAGGATTAGCAGAGACGGGGCTCCTGGCCCCCGGGTTGGCCTGGCAGCTGCCTGGCACCGGGCAGCCCCCTCAGAAGGCCACACAGGCCAAGACAGACAGCCCAGGCGGTGGCAGGCAGAGCTCGTGAGGGGCTGGGCCGGTTTGGACGCAGCCCTGAGCGGAGAGAGGACCTTTGAAGAGAACCAACTACCCGGATGATCCTTGTGGCCTTCCAGAGTGCCGCCCAGCCAAGGAGGAGCAGTGGGGGAGAGGCATGAAGAACAGCCATCGGTTCCTTAAGAAAATTCTAGCTCTGAGAGGCTGAGAATGTAGGGAGGGGAGGTAAAGACCCCAAGACCCGACCCTTCTCAGGAGAAAAGGCCTGGGCTTCCTGTCCTTCTGGCGCACACCCCAGCCAGTCAGTTCCCTAAGAACCTCAATGCCCCCAGCTGTCCCCTCAGACTCTCCTGCCCCATCACCCAGGCTGTCTCCTCAGGTGAACCAGACCTCCGTCCCTCATCCCGATGTGACCGCTCTCATTTCCTCAGCTAGGAAGGGGGCTGGCTTCCAACCTAGCGAACAGTTCTTGGCTGAGCTGGGGGTAAGGGGACAGGGGCACAGGATGGGGGGTGGGCGGCCAGCATCACCGTGAGCTTGTGGTCTCCCCAGGCCTGGGGCTCCCTAGTTGTCCCCTTCACGAAGGCCAGCAGCCCTTCCCAGGGGTCAGGCTGGCTTTGCAGGTGGTCCCGTCCGCACTTCAGGGGAAAAGCAGGTGCTCTTCCGGGCCTCTGCCATGCTGCGTGGCTTCCCCTCCTGTCGAACAGGCCTCTAGAGCAGCACCATTCTGAGGGGGACCTCGGGGTGCAGCTGCACCCCACCACCTCTGCAGAGCAGCTCTGCAGCCAGCCAGGCCCGGGCACGGCAAGCTTGGAGCGGACCCCACTGAACGGATGATCTGTAGGGTCATGGGCGGCACCCACTTCATGCAGGGCGTACCTCCCATACGCACAGTGGCCTTCAGGGCAGGTGGGAGACCCTGGGGTGTCAGAGCTGAGGTCGCTGTCTGGGGTCATCCACACTGCCCTCCACATTTTACAGACCACCCGGCGAAACTAAGGCCCAGGAAGCCAAGGTCCTATGACAACTCAGGGAAAAGACAAAGACCAGAGCCTGAATTTCCCGACACCGATGGGGTGCTTCCCAGCACCCCCACCCAGGCTGTGGCGCTCCCAGGGAGGCCCCGCTGCCAGGCTGCAACGCTCTCGCTCTGCGCGACCCAAGCGTTCAAGGTCAACCATCTGTCACTCCTGTGGCCTGGGGGCAGTCAGTGTCCTTCCTTTATTTTTAATATATTTTTTAAGATTTTATTTATTTAATTAACAGAGAGAGACACAGCGAGAGGGAACACAAGCAGGGGGAGTGGGAGAGGGAGCAGCAGGCTTCCCGCTGAGCAGGGAGCCCGAAGCGGGGCTCGATGTGGGGCTCGATCCCAGGACGCTGGGATCATGACCCGAGCTGAAGGCAGACGCTTAACGACTGAGCCACCCAAGCGCCCCTATTTTTAATTAAAAAGTAATACTTTAGAATGCTCATGACAAAATCAAACCAAATGGTGTCTGCCCCCAGCCCCACAAATCTGTTGAAATTCCTGGTCTGTTCCATGGAGTGACTTGAGTTTCCTTCCTCAACGCATAAGCTAGAGGTTTGAACAAAAACTACACATGTACCCACAGAGGCAGGAACTCAGGAGTCAGGAGCGGAACCATATTTGGACTGCAGACTTTTCCAGAGCAATCTTACCCAGAGGCCAGTGCATCCAACAGCCTAGAAGTCAGCCTGCTGGGCCTGGGGAGAGGAAGCAGGGTCACCCCTGCTTCTGCCCCGCAGTCGGGCCCCTTGCGAAAGGCGGAGCCCTCCCATCCAGTGCGGGTTAAGAAGTGAGACTCTGGAGCGAGGCTGCTGGGCTCCCAATCCCCAGCATCAGGTTCCTAACCTCTCCCGCCCTGGCTTCCGCACCTGTGAAACGCGGGTAACAGCAGTCCCTAAGCACCATCTTCAACAAACAATACTTTGCTACGTTCACCTACATCGCACCCTCTTTTTCTTTGCTGAAGTGCGCATGTGATTTTCCCCCTGCAGGCTTCAGGAGGCATTTCTAAAATGCAGGCATTTTCTTGCCACTTCACACCAACCCACATCACAAGTCATTTTCTGGTATCATTAAGATATGGCTTATGTCCCCGTTGGCCCAATTTTTTCAAAAATGGGTTTTTAGAATTAATTTGCTAAGATCAGGATCCAAGGAGGGCACATGTCCTCCAAGAGGCTGTTATGCTTCTACTTCCCAGGAGCTAAAGGGTCCCTATGATGGTGATGCCTAGGGGGGTTCTTTCTGCTGGAAACGCGGCGGCTATGTTTGCCGCCAGCGGGCCGGCCGGCAGGCACTGCCCCCAGGGCCCAGTCCTAGCTGGCCCGCACCAGCGAAGGCTGCGGAAGGGAAGGAGCAAGAGGGCAGCGTGCTGCCAACTTCTCCACCCACAATATGGCGAACGAGCCCAGAAAGCAGCAAAACCCAGTGAGTGTGGCGAGCGGGGGAGGGTCGGCATCAGAATGGAGAGAGCCAGGACGGCTGAACCCTTGGGCCCTGCTGCTGCCCGTGAACTTGGGCATGGCGCTTCACCTTCTCGGCCTCAGGTTCCTACTGTCTAGGGATTAAAACAATGCTTACTCCCTCGGGCGTCCTGAGGACTGACTACGATAATGCCTTTAAAGCACAGTCAGCACACAGACCCGGCTCTGGAAGTGGTACCACTAAGATGGAAGCGTGGCCTGAGGTGGAGATAAAACCGAGGAATCCAGCGGAGGGGGCCGCCGATCACCTCCCGCTGGGCTCGAAGGAGAGGGTAGCAGCCGGCTGGGCCTGGACACAGCCACGGCCCTTTACGGCGTCCGGGCGCCGGGCCCCGGCCGTCCACGAAGCCCACCACCCGCGCCTCGACCTGCGCCGCGATCCCCGCGGGCCCCGCACACCCGCCTCCTCCCACGCCGCCTCCAGCTCTCCCGCCCACGTGAGCCGCACCGCACCGCCCGGGGGCCGGTTTTGCCGACGGGCGCGGTTAGACGAAGCGATAGCCCGCCGCCGCGGGCAGCGCCTGCCGACGTTGCAGGGTGTGGGCAGGCTCCCGACCCCACTTCGAGAGGCATCGGGCCGTCTTCGGCTCACCTTCCCCGGCTCAGGGACCTACGAGAAACCGACGCTAGCCAGCCGGGGGGGCCCCAGCGCTGTGGGGTCGTTCACACACCCGCCAGTGGCCGATTCTTTCTGGACGAAGCCTCTTCCCAGATGGGCGCACCCGGGGCAGGACCCCCATCTCTCCCACCCCCCCAGGTCTCTTTCTCCCTCCCTGGCCCCTGGCTTTTTTCCAACACCGGACCCCCGGGGTCAACCAGCCGGCTGCCAGTCCAGGGCGTGCTTCCCCCGAGGACCGGCCCGCACTGTCGCGGGGTGATAATGCGGGGACGCGGACCGGCGAGGAGCGAGGTGGGGAGGCCCCGGCCTTGCCACGGGCGCGCGGCTAGACTGCCGGGTTTCATGTGCCTACTTTCCCACCAATTCGAATCTTCCCAACGGAGTTTTACAACTCTGCTTTTCGCGTTTATATCCTTAAATATGGAGTCAGGGCATCCACTCCGGATTTCTGACGGATGAGAGCTCTCGGGGCGGCCCTGGCTCCTCTCTGGCCGGCTGTGGCCGGATTCAAGGCCTCCTTTTCTCCCTCCAAAGAGCTCCCCATTCTCTGAATCCCCCTCCCCCCACGTGTAACTCTTAAAAGCCAGAGGATCCTTAGAATTTATAGTTCAACCCCTCATTTTACACGCGAGGAAACCGAGACCTGAGAAAAGGGGTGATGGAGGGGGGAGGATCTGTATGACAGAGCCTCCAGGTGCAAATGGCTCGCTCAAAGCCGCTCAGTCGGTCTGTGGCTGCCGGCGGGGTGATGGTTTCGCCGGGTGTCGGTTTCCGCATCTGTAAAAGGGCGTGCGCCGTCCGCGCGGTGAGCCGCAACTAATCAGGGGAGGTGAGCGGCCACGGGAAGTGCCTCCCCAGAGGCCGGGTGCTTTCGGCTCCGCTCTCCGGGTCTACTCAGTTAGACCCGCGGCGCTCCAGGGCTCCCGGCCCCTCCAGGCCGCAGAGACGGTGGGGAGAGGGCAGCCACCCCGGCCTTACCCCGCCAGCTCCAGAAGTAAACTCGGGAGGCTGATGCCCCGCGCGCTGCGCGCCGCCAGCACCGCGAAGATCTGCGGCAGCTTGAGCGCGGCGCACACGCCCAGCGTGCTCCAGTTGCAGAACAACAGCAGCTGCTCCCGCATGGCGCCCGCGGGGCTGGGGGCTCCGGCTCGGGACTTGGGGGCTCGGCGGGGGCGCCGCTGCGTGAGGGAAGGAAACAGCTCTGCGCTGGGCCGCCCGGCGCGCCGAGTCCTTCCGCCTTTCCCTGGGCGCCCCGCCCACGCCCGGGGGCC